AGAGTCTTTCTCCAGCAGAATGGCATCAAAACCATGCAGTGGCCTGCCCTCAGTCCTGATTTAAATCCCATTGAGCACCTGTCAGACGAGATTCAAAGACGGCTGAATGACGTCCGACAAGGCCTATGGCCTTCATTAATCGCCTCATCCATTCCATGTATCGAAGTTGCACGGCAGTCATCAATGCACATGGCGGACACACGAGATACTGACTTGTGATGCCATTTTCTTTGAGACTAGTGTTGTGTTTCACTTTCAGAACATTTGACACTTGAATTTCAACCTTGATGATCAGTTTTGCCAAGTTTCATCTTTTTAATATGTCTCAAAGTATGTTTACAGTGTTTGAACAAATAAGGTTTCTCATATATTCATCCATGGTGATGTTTCTTTTGTGGTTCAGTATATAAACAACAGGATTATGGCTGATTGGGGTCTTTGATGAGTTGATGGTACGCCGGGGGGGAATGTAATAGTCTTGGTCACGGTTGATTGACGGTTGGAGTCTTTTGATGTTGATGGCTTCTTGTAGTTTTCTGATTTTGAAGTCTTTGAGGTTGGTGGTGAGAGCTTTGACTTTATCCCGCTGAATGCTGTGGCTTGACACAGTTGCAAAGAACAAAGAGACCATGTTGCGCGGGTGGCATCTATCTGGACTTGCAGGTGTGATCAGTGATGACATAAGTCTTGACCCCAGCAGTGACAATTGACAGGATGTAATTTGTGTTTGAATGACATTGTTTATATACTTGTTACAAGTGCTGCCAAATAAACAGTGATTTGGAATACATAGTTGTTTGTTTTCAGCGTATGTCTAATGTGGTATTTCTGCTATCTAAAATGTCTTATTGTTGATATAAATGTGATGTCAAATAATGCGAGCAGAGACCACTTGCATTTTTCGCATTTAATTCACGCTCGCGTTAATTTCAAGATTTACAGTAGTTCATAAAGCCCCATAACGCCTTAAAAAGAGATATAGATAAAGAGCACTTGATTAAATGTGAAATTAATATACACAAAAGGCCCCTTCTCTGGAAAAAAATAACTTTGTCTTGATAACTTTCTCTTAGATAAAATCAGTTGTTTCTGAGAAAACTTGGCTTCTTGTATTTTTCTGATTTTGAAGTCTTTGAGGTTGGTGGTGAGAGCTTTGACTTTATCCCGCTGAATGCTGTGGCTTGGGTTGTCGCAGATGTGGTCTGATAGAGCTGATTAAGAGTCATCTTTGGAGACTGAGCTTTGATGTTCTTTAATTCGGCTTTTGAGGGGCCTAGATGTTTCTCCTATGAAAGCTTGTCCACAATTGCACGGAATGTGGTACACTTTGGTACATGTACTTGCTATTGGTGGATATTTTTACGCAGTCTCCCATGCTACATGTATTTCGATTACGAAAAGGTTATAATTCTTATGAATCCTCTATTAGCTCTATGGCTGCTGTCACACTAAATAAAACTTTCAGATGAAGTCCTCCGTCAACTATACAATAATTAGTTGTACCCACAATAGCACCCACCAGTCCACAGCGCTCTTGTGAGTTAAGGTCACCGGACCAGCCGGACACCTTACCATAGGGATACTCGTCTGCCCAGCCAAGATGCCACTTGGCGGGAATGTTCCTGTCAGAGCCATCTTCTTCTGCCAGTACTCCTAGCCACACTATCCACCTTACCCCATAGGATACTCGTCCTTCACGGTTACTGTACGGGAGCTACGGTTATGCAACAATTTACCCATTCACAGATCTTGCCTGAATCGTGGACACTGTTGGATAATGAACCACATGGGGACAACATGGATCCTACTTTGTTACTCACCAGCCACCAACAACACCACTGATGTCACGATGTGGTAACATGGCACCTAGTATAAAGAAAACTTGTATATCCCACAAACCACTGACTCTATTTTGTCACTTCCTACCGAGAACCGTACGCTGACCCCTTCCATAAAGGACAATGCAAATAATCATTATTATCAATGTTATGTGTGTCTCCAATACATGGTCATTTCCAGTTTTTTACAAATTCAGAATGATCTACGTACCACAACCAAAACAAACAATAAAGCAGGAGCATTACCTGGCAATGCCTTCCTTCACATCCACATTCATCCTGCCTCCAGGAAATATCTACGTATCCTGTACAAGGGTCAACATTACCAATGGACAGTCCTTCCCTTTGGAATTTCAATGGCTCCATGGTTATTTATACTGCTGACCAAACCAATCATGGCCTATCTGCACAACAAGGGGATCCGTTGCACCTTTTACTGGAACTTCACTCTCCAACTACTAACACAACTAGGCTGGTTAGTCAATTATGAGGAGTCTGATGTTAACCCATCCCAGGATCTCAAGTTCTTGTGCATCCCATTCATGAAAGGGTAGAACCCGATACAAGATCTAGAAGATCGCTGGTAAAAAATCAAGTCATCTTTCGATAGCAATTGACAACCGACTAAAGGTCAACTATTGGCAAGTGACTTTGGTCTCCTAATGTCAGCCAAAGCCTTGACCGTAGTCCTCACATGCAGCCCACACAGATTCCTCCAGCCGTTCCTCAGTCAACAAGAATTAAACTTCAACTTTTACAACATCTGAAGAAAGATCTCAAATGGTGGACCATAAAGTCCAACTTTTACAGAAGAGCCTACTTGAACAAGCCAGAATACAATGAAATCTATTTTATGGATGCCTCACTCCAAGGATGCCTATCTTGAGTTGGAAGTAACATCAGGGCTGTGGTCCGCAGCAGAAAAATAAACCATCTGGAGTACAAGTTGATAATCCAGGCAAAATCCAGACTGCAGTTGAGAGACGTCAAGAACTTAATAATAAGAACAGAAACATACTTACCAAGAATTCGTTCGAAAATTGGTCCCGTCAATTATTTTTTTTGGCTCTTGCCCAATGTTTTTCAACTTAGCACATAGTGTGTGCAATTGGGACACGTTTTCTCAGAAACTAGTCAGGCTACAAGAATGAAAGTTTGCATGCTTATCTAAGAGATACTTGTCAAGACTGAGTTCTGAAATTGGTCCCGTCAGTTATTTTTTAGAGAGTTACTGCCTTCTATCCATGTTATATGTGCAATGGGGGCAAGTTTTCTCAGAAACAACTGATTTTATCTAAGAGAAAGTTATCAAGACAAAGTTATTTTTTCCAGAGAAGGGGCCTTTTGTGTATATTAATTTCACATTTAATCAAGTGCTCTTTATCTATATCTCTTTTTAAGGCGTTATGGGGCTTTATGAACTACTGTAAATCTTGAAATTAACGCGAGCGTGAATTAAATGCGAAAAATGCAAGTGGTCTCTGCTCGCATTATTTGACATCACATATATATCAACAATAAGACATTTTAGATAGCAGAAATACCACTTTAGACATACGCTGAAAACAAACAACTATGTATTCCAAATCACTGTTTATTGGGCAGCACTTGTAACAAGTATATAAACAATGTCATTCAAACACAAATTACATCCTGTCAATTGTCACTGCTGGGGTCAAGACTTATGTCATCACTGATCACACCTGCAAGTCCAGATAGATGCCACCCGCGCAACATGGTCTCTTTGTTCTTTGCAACTGTGTCAAAGGCCGACACGAGCCAGCGCGTATGTATTGTTTTAGCGGAAGTACTCTACTCAACGCTAATAAGCGGTGCTATTTGGTGTGTGATTGGATTAATGTAAGGTTGGACTAGGGTGAGGATTCTCCTGTAAACCTGACAGAGGATATTTTCTTTAGCTATAAATCCACTGATGCTTGTGAGGAGGTTGATGTCGCATTCATATTGAGTCACATTTTTGGCTAGGGGCCAGCCACGCATTCTTTTGGAGATGCATTAATTTCACGATGCATTAATTTCACGATTTACAGTATATGAACAAACAAACAAACTTCTCATGTGCCTCATGGCATTTATGACTGACAGTTTTCTAGTAAAATATATTAATAATGCAGTTGTGTATCTATGAATATCTGTTGTTTTGTGAAAAATAGTAGTGTCAGACGTGAGTAGAAGATCTTTGGTGACCTTGGTTCCTTGGTGTGTTCAATGAGCAATTTTCATTCTGTCTTATGGATATTGAACATAAGAAGCAATTTGCACACTGTCGTAGCAGGCTAAGTATATAAATCTACAGAATACTCAGATTCCTGTAAGAAGTAATGTTTTAGCATCGCTTGGTCATTTCTGCTTGTATCATTACTAAATTTGATATACAGTAATTATATTATATAACAGTAACACGTTATATTTTTCTGTGGCATATTTGTGATAGGTGGTGCATGTTTTTTAAAAAGATATTCCCAATAAATTCTTACTTGATTACCTTTACGAGTTTAACCTTCGGTAGCCTGCAGATACTGATCATGTCACCAATATAACTATATAAGGTTATGTACATTAACACAGAACCGAGCTTGGCAAGGCACAGTAGAAACACGATGCTGAGTGGTAAGTTAAATGCAAAAAGGAACTTTGCACATTAAAGGGTCATATCAGTGCAAAACATATTATCAGACAATTTCTACACTGATAAGCAAAAAATACAGGAGCTTGTAAACTACCTAGAGTATGAATACATCAAGTAAAAATACTTTAGTCCCTTACCATTACAATGACATTATTTATTTGAGGCAATACAGCCATTGTAATCATGATGAACATGCAATTCTGATCTTCTTTATAGCCACTTGTGTTTGTATCATTGAGTCATGTAATAAACTTGTGGTGAGGATATTGTTTTGGTACTTTTGCATAATAGTCTGTCTTTGTATGATGTTTCCTCTCTAATAACTTAGTCCAGAAAATTTCAGGTGATCTACAGATTCTTGTGGCTCTTTTTTAGGAGCATCATATGTAGACATGGAAAGTCAAATTTGATGTCTAAATCATTCAGTTGTATTGTGGTCAGAAATGTGAAAAGATTTCAGGATGTTCAAGTATGTAGAAGAGATTGTGACAATTATTTTTATTCATTTCCAGGGAAATGCCTATTTCCGGGGAGGAGAGTATGACCAAGCCATTGAACATTATTCACGTGGCCTCCAGCTTGATCCTACCAACCATCTACTTCCAGCAAACAGAGCAATGGCCCTCATCAAACAAAAAAAGTAATGTTTCATTCATCTCTTTTACTGGTTGAATAACTAAGTACACATGTGTATGAGTTGATTCAAATGAGTGAATATCTTGAAGCTGAACTCACCTAGAAGCATGTTTTTGTTCCGTCCAAATTTAGTGCCGACCTGGAAAATGTACCAGGATTAAATATATAAAACTGCAGTGTAAAGTTCCGTTTGACAGGAACAAATGTTTGGTTGTATTCATGAACGATGTTCCTGTATATTGTTAATGTGCAACATGAAAAACAGGGAAACTAAGACATACAATTGCAATACAAATAAACATAATATTAAAGAAAATCAAAAGAATATGATGGAAAAGCATGAAACAAATCCTGATAGTTAATGACAAAAGCAAATGTGAAAACATGTAATTTTGAAAAAAACCGGATGGAATGCAGAGCCTAAACACAACCGAAATCAGAAGTACTGCTGGATTAGAATTCCATGAAATGACTGTTTATGTCAAATAAGTTAAACAAAAAAGCAGTCGCCAGTGAATACTATGGCTGTCAGGATGAAGTATCCTGAAGACTTGAGAAAAAGGAGACATTAAAATCTTTTTTTTAAATGAATTTTGTCAAATAGGAATGTTTGAGCAAATAGAGCATTTGTTCTGACTGGAACAAATACATAGAAATGTTTATTCCAAATGCCGGATATTTACCATCCCCAAACACACAAGCGTGATAACCTCTTTATCATATAATGTCATTCTTTAAATCTGTGCTTGAAAAACACTTTCCCTCTCTCACAAACATTACCGAAACATTGTGAGTTTTCCTGGACTGCGCACATTAATATTTATTACCTCACAGGGTTAGTCGAACAGTGACAGTCGCCAATATAGTTCCAACTGAAATCTGTTTCTTATACAGTGGTGAAGCAACATATATGCAAAACAACAATTGTTTTTACTTGCCTTTCGCAGCAATCCATCGGTCTGTCCGCTAAAGTAACTGCCCTTTGTCAAAGGGAAGCTATTCTAACCATAGTCTGAGACGTCATGGCCACGTTCAGACCTTGTTGACAGTTTACATGAGCAGTCAGAATCCACAGTTGGAAAACACAAAAAATAACACTGTTACTGTGTACTAAATAATGCTGACAATATTGGTGAGATAATTTTCCAGAAGAATGACATGAGACAGATTTTAGGTTGAGCATGTGTGTAGTACTTACAGCAATGAATAGGTGTGCAGCATACAACATGCACAATATATTACATCTCCCTCCTTAGCTATGATAAGGCAAACTGTGTGACTTCAGTAACTGTTCAAACCAGATGGTAATTCTGTTCTGTGTTGTTGACTTGAGTTCTTAAATACTTTGACGTATGACTAGATGAAGAAGGATCACAGCTTTAGGTACTTAAAGCAGCATTTGCGGTAGGAACTACCGCAATCTTGGTGGATCGAGCTTATACGAGTGATCTGAAAGGTCAATATGACGTCACGATAACACACAAATTTCATTGGTTGATGTGAAAATGGGTGACGACATATAAACACCCACAGATGTTTTAATGGTAATTAATGTCCATCAAACAATTCCAAGACTTTTCGGGGCGGTCGGGTAGCCTAGTGGTTAAAGCGTTGGCTCGTCACGCCGAAGACCCAGGTTCGATTCCCGACATGGGTACAATGTGTGAAGCCCATTTCTGGTGTCCCCCGCCGTGATATTGCTGGAATATTGCTAAAAGCGGCGAAAACCATACTCACTCACTCACTCACTCCAAGACTTTTCACAGACTTATATTCGAAAATATGTAGTGTCATGATGAATAAGAGAAGTGTTATTAAAACATTCTACATAATATGTATCTCGTCAACAAACATAATCCTGTGTACGGATTATTGGCAGTTCATGAATAGCATTTTTCAAAATATCCACGATAATCAATTATTATTTTTAAGTCATGTTCATCTTGCCAACATCTGGAATCTGGATGACAATGATCAGGGAAACCCTGATAATGGTAAAAAGATTTTGATGTGATGAAAGTAGGTTTTTATCGTTTCCGTGGCATGTTTTCATTGCCCAGTAGCAATGTGTTTCGGCAGATGTACACTTCCCCGAAAGCTCCTCTTGCCTAGTCATTCCATGAACTTTGGGGGTCCCTGTGACCCAGATTTTAATTCCCTGTTGATTCCTTTTGTGGCATGCCAGATAAAATTTTCATTAGGCCATCCATAATTTTTATGTGTTTCTCATCTCCAACCCCAACCAACATAGAGTGGGTGGACAAAATAAAATATATAATTTTTAAAACTCAAAAAGGTCTTACAATAATTGTGTAAATTATTTTATGACATTTTAAAAAAATGTTTAACACACTTGGTACTTCCACCCCAGTTTCTCCCACTCCAGTTGATCAACCATCTCTTGCACTCTCAACAAGCTGGTACGCAACCCTATCACCAATTACATGTTACCTCCTTCGCAGACTAAGGATCTGACATCGGTTTCCAGATACTCAATGGACATTGGCGCTTCCATTAAATGGTTTGTCGCCGGAATGAGACACATCATTCCACCATTACTGTCACCTTATGAAATCATATCTGGGGACACACCCATGACTATTATGACTGATCAAGTCGGATTCATCCATAGCCTTCCAGATACTATAGTCAGGATGCAAGAAGACTTACTCTCTTCCCAAGTCTGGATGTCTTCACAACTATTGTGGCTTCAGCATCAGTAACTTATCACAGATCCGCTCCAGAGCTGTCTCTAACCAAACCAAGAGGTTGATAATGTCACAACCCATATCAGCTCCCGCGACATTCAACGGGAAAATGGGAGACGTGACAGATGAAGTCAAACAAAATACTACGGAGCGATACCAAACATCAGCTACCAACCTGGCTGCCGAAGCCCACGGATCTTCCCATCCCCAGAAGGGTCCCTGGGACCACAAAGCTTCATCATCTAAAAAGCCTCCAAAGAAGAAGTTTGTCCACTCCGGGAAGGATTCTTTCCAACCGAATCGGGGGTACGACAAGCGCCAATCTCCGCAGGAATCTTTTTGCCTGCCAGATTACAAGAAACGAGGATTCAATCACCTTAGAAGGTTCTGACTGCCCTGCCACCCTCTCAGACGTTATAGACCCTTTCGACCTGGTTATGTCTATGGACAACGATTTACACCTACCGTCTTTCAACATAATGCTGACTCCGGGACAAGTGGCAGGGCGCGTTCTGTCATACCCCGGAAATTGGAAGCAAGTTACACCCGACCTCTGGATTCTAGACGCCAAGGTTTACTGGTACAAACTGCACTTCAAGAAACATCCTACCTTAAAGACCCAAGCAGGTTTCATCTAGTCGGAGCCAAGTTAGCGAAGAAGAGAGCCATTCGGAAACTAACGGAGACCAACAACACCAAAGGCTTTTATTCTCCGGTCTTCCTAGTTCCGAAATAAAATACAACTGACATGAGGATGATAATCGACCTAAAGATCATCAACAAAAGATACCTGGTACCTCCGCCAAAATTCCAGATGGAATCAGTAAGTTATGGTCAAAGCTGAAGACAGGGGACTGGCTTATCAGACCTCGATTTCCAAGATGCCTATCTTCACGTCCCGATACACTCTTCGTCACGGAAAAATGTACGCTTCGCGATCAAATGTCGACATTTTGAGTTCCAGATCTAACCATTCGGGATATCAATAGCCCCTTGGCTATTCACCAGGATTACAGCGCCATTCGTCAGGTTTACCTAATTCCAGCTAGTTTGAATCCATGGATACCTGGGCAATTTCCTAGCTGCAGACAAGAGAAAGCTCGGCTACATCAGAACATGAAATTCTTGGTCCAACTTATGACCTCCCTAGGCTTCCTAGTCAATCCCTCCAAGTCCCGAGACCACTCTGGTTCAAGACATCATATACATCGGAGCAAGATTCCAACTAAACAAGGGGGCATGGGTGGCCGAGTTGTCTAAGGCGAAGCGACTTGAAGTTATCATGCAGAAAATGCAAACATTCGGAAAATCTGAGCTTGCCTTAGATCATGGAGACCTTCATCCTCCCTAACAGATGGGACAAATTCGTCCAGTGGAGAAGGCGACAAGGGATAATAACTAATGCTATATCCATCCCTATGGTAGCGGATTTTCTACTACATTTACGTCAAGACATTAAATTCCGTCATGGGACGATAGAAGGTTATAGATCGGCTCTTCACTCTGTTCTTCAACATGACGGATTTTCAATCCAAAACCATCCCATTCTAAACAGACTTATGAGATCCTTTCTACAAGAAGATGTTTGAACACCTTGTATCTTCCCCAAGTGGAATCTCTCTGTTGTACTATCGGCACGGTTAACGGAACTTTACGAGCCCTTGGCTAAAGCTACCTTACTCCAAAAATCAAGGAAAGCTTCCTTCCTCCTAGCCATGGTGACAGCAGCAAGAGTTTCAGAACTCCATGCTTTAGACTATTCTAGTCACACCCATGACCAACTCTGAAACTCAATCAGCCTCGAGTGGACCGGAAGTTACGTCAGCACTTGAAATAGCAGAACAAGGCCCATCTAATTAGGAATGACGTCTTTGGGTAGAAATAGACCTTGAGAGACGTCATTAAAAGGGAAGTGACAAACTGGAAGTGACGTCGGCTCTAGTATATTCTGGCAGAGATGTAATAGAGGTAGAAATTTCATAAGAATTATCGAACAATAGCTATCACTGTTAATATTTCTAAGAATACTACCTCTTTTGCCTCAGAAGTACTTCCACACACCTCCCCAATTCATCTACATCCAGTAGTTAGATGTGGGGAAAAAAGTTTGCCGCCATTACATATGTCATAGATTGGGTGGTTATGATGCTACTTGGCAACAACTAATTATGTGTAATTGACAGTGAAGAGGACTTCTGTTAGGATAATACAGGATTTATGGCTTATATGTAATAGAGGTAGTATTCTTAGCATTATTAACAATGATAACTATTGTTTGATTTTCGTGTGACACTTA